CCCCAAAACCCCAAAACCCCTCATATTAATAATGATAATTATAGAATAATAAATTAAATGAAAATAAGTTATAACTCTTCTTCTTATCACATCATTAATTCAGATATATCTATAAAATCTAAATGACTTTGGATAAGTTTATTTATTCTCATATTTTATACTGTACTATTTTTTGTTCTATTCAAAAGCCATTTTAATCTCACTTTCAGTATACTTAGATCTATTTATTTATCTTTATATTATGCTATTGTTGTTTCAGCACTCTATAACTGATGCTCATTTCTAGAAAATACTATAGACTTTAAATCCCTATCTTAAATTAGCTTATCAACTAATTATATGCCCGAATTATCTATGCCAATCAGAGTTACATCTCTTATGTCTAACTTCTAATTCTCTTAGAGAGATATAAAGTATTATATCAAAAGCTCAAAGCAATCATATTATTGAGCAATTTATTTTTTATCCAAGATCTCAATTTTATTAAAGCATCTTATCATGTCCATAACCTGTATATTTTATCCTTTGTAACTTTTATAAAGCTCATACCTACTTTAGAGATCCGTTAGTTCTTTGATGTTCATTAGAGGAAAGAGTTAAGAAACCTTATCGAAATTCTCGTAAAGATAAGCAATCAATATTTAACTCGTCTTGTCCGTGTTTAATTTTGTGAGTACTTTGTAAATAATGTCGTCTCTGTTTATAAGCCTTAAACTTATATCATCTTTCTCATCTACTATCCTTTACTTTAAATTCATTATGCTAAAGTAATCAGATTTAGAATTGTTATCCGCTAAGTTTTATTTCATTTATTATGGCTAATCTTATAGTTTTACTTTGCTATCAATGCTTTCATCGAGCAGATCAAGAAGATTTGCTGTCTTTGATCCTTTATTTTTACCTTGAATTGAATGCTAATTTTTATCAACTTTTTTTCCACTACTTATTTATTCACTTTCCTTTAAACTAAGCACATTAAGGTAGCTTTTAAATAATTCTTATTTCACCATTAATTATACTTTCTTTGATGTGAGTACATTCAACAAGTTATAAATCATTTGATACCTAAGAGAGTCATGCTGCTTATCAATAGTCAATTTCAATTTGCCTGTAATTGATGGTAGTTAAACTAATCTCAGCTTCTTATCCTTGATAATGTCTATTACTTTATCTAGCTGGATGCTTGGAAGATTGTATATGAGTTATACTAAGATGTAAAAAGCAAATATAAACATCAGATCCAGCTGCAATTTTTAGTTCATCTCGCAGTACTTATCAATTATACTGTTCATAATAACTATGAAAATATCTTATTGCTATTGCTTTTGATTCTTAATTTTAACCATAGGGCTATTGCTTTATAATGGGAAGATATAGGATTCGAACAAGTACTAAATATCAAATTACTGAGACAACATATAGTATTAGATAGATTTAGAATAGTTATTTTCTTTAAGAAGAATTTAAGAGAATTTTTCATAGCACTTCAATATAATGTGATGCTAACTTTGGCCTAATAGTTATTCTAGCTTAATTAATTCCTCTCTTGTCTTAACAGTCTTGAAAATATTGTCCAGCAATAGATCTTAAATGAGTTCTTCATTTACATAATCTTTTATCTTAATTGTAAAGCCTTCTTCGGACGTAGCAATTTAGATAACTTGATTATCTTCATGTATCAATATTTTACTAATTTTTAGTAAAGAATCGTTAACCTGAAGTTAAATTACAGTCAATATAGCCTGTCGTTCATTGTCATATTTCCTGCATGATAATAGCTATAGATTATTAAAGTGCTAGTCATTAGAATGCTTTAAAATTGATTTGTTTCTTTAGATCTAGCTCAGTAAGTCTATTGCTATCAAGATTATCTAACTGAGGTCTGTTGTGATCAGAAAGTATTTTTGATCAATCATTTTCACATCAACTATTGTAATATGCTCTTAAAGGAAGTTAAACTCAAAAGTCTTATCTATTGTAAGTGACCCATCCTCATTTTAAATCTTATAAATTACATACATCTTCCTTGAAAGTTGAAAATAACCTATGTATTTTTATGATGTAACAATACCTGTTTAATATCTTTAGTTTTTAATTTAAGTAAGTTAGAGACCTGACTCTGAAAGATCTAGTATTTTTAAGATTGATGGACTATATAGGTCTTTTATCACTTAATGAAGTTCAAGATAGCAATCAAGGATAAGATAGTGATCTTTTGAGATTACGTATAGCTGCTGTATTTAAGAGTGCATTTCTATGATAAACTATCTTTCCTCATTATCAATATTGTATAAGAATATGGTTTTTCCAACACTGCATAGTACTTTCTTGCTATCTATAATTTCCATATCATTAAACCAAACATTTGAAGCTTCTGGATTGAGCTTATCAAATACACCCAGGTTGTAAACAATGAACTAATCATTCAACTACTACTTGAATTCATTATTTTACTTCTCAGTGACCATACTGCTGAGAAATCCTGATATTTTCTATCCAAACTATTTTATGAGGGTATCCTTCTCTTTAGATTGTTGATTTTTCAAAAACTATTCCTATATCTCTTCAAAATCATTTGTTTTTTCAAACATGAGTTAAACACCAATAACAAATAGATAGCCCCCTTTAGTCATAATGAATACTTAGTCACCTACAAATTTCAAACTGATGATACTAAACTCCTTCAAGCTGTTACCAAACCAATAGACTTACTTATCCCTAGTTATTTTCTTTTTTAGATAGCAAGTGGATAGTAATAGGTTTTTGTTAAAGTATTGAAGGTTTAAGGAACTTGTGTTATCAAATGGTTCTATATACTAGCTCTCAAGACTTTTTAGATAATGTATCTGCAGAAGTTTGTTATGATTAATGGATGAAGCAGAGAGCTGTACCTTGTAATCTTCACTAGGGAAAGTGATTATTTTTTAGAATTCTATAAAATTTTGTTCCATTTATAAATTATAAAAAATCTATCGAGATTAAACTTTTAATTTCTCAATTCTGGGGTTTTGGGGTTTTGGGGTTTTGGGG